AGTAAAATGTGTTGGTTTTTGAAGACCTTACTGACAGGAAAGGAAGGTATTTCTATGAGATATTTAGCACTTTCTTAATGTCTTCATCTTTATCTTTAATTCCAATAAAGCTTGTTCCTGTTAGCTTCAAAAAACTAAAATGCTGAATAAAATTGTATAACACAATTTCAAATTCATTCTGACAACATTACTTTTTACCAATTTCATTTGAGCTAATTTGTAGTAAATAAACATACCTTGTAACAGAACAAGGTATATTTAGCATAGACCAAGAACTGTTCTATATTCTGTACATACCTATATTAACTATTTTTATTTGCATCAATATCTGTTATTACTATTCCTATTTTATAGATGAGAAACTTGATACACAGACATTGAATAACTTGCTCAAGGTTACAGAGCAAAAAGTAGCTCTCTGGGATTTGGACTTCTGTGGTATGGTTCTAGGTTCCTTATTCCTTCTTTTATAAAATATGTTTTTAGAGAGAAAGGAAGGGAGAGGGATAGAGAGATAGAAACATCAATGAGAGAGAAGCATCCTTCGGCTCCATGCCCCCTACTGTGGAGGATTGAGCCCACAACCCTGGCATGTGCCTTTACCAGGAATTGAACTGGTGACCTCTTGGTTCCTGGGTCTACTCTCAACCACTGAGTAAACACTGTCCTAGCCTAGGTTCCTTATTCTTAATTACTATGCTATATCACTACTATGAAAAGATCTTACTTTTTATTTGACTCCTGTAACACTGTATTAGTACCTTTTTTGGTACCACATACTGTCTTTTGTGTAGTATTCATTTATCCTTTGTCAAATCACATTTTATATTTGATTCAGAAAATGTAATAACTAAAGTTTTGAACTTTCACCCTGGCTGGGTAGCTCATTTGGTTGGAGCATTGTCCCAATACACCAAGGTTGTGGGTTCAGTCTCTGGTCAGTGCACATACAAGAAGCAACCAATGATTGCATAAATAAGTGGAACAACAAATAAATGTTTCTCTCTCTCTCTCCTTCCCTCCCTCCCTGACCCTCTCTCCCTCCCTTCCTTTCTCTCTCCCTCTCTTCCTTTCTCTCTAAAAAATTCAAATATTTTTTTAACATTTTTTATTGATTTCAGAGACAGGGAGAGGGAGAGAGAGAAGCATCAATGAGAGAGAGTCATTGATTGGCTGCCTCCTGCACGCCCCCTGCTGGGGATCCAGCCCACAACCCGGTCATGTGCCCTGCCCCTGAATCCAACCGAGATCTCCTGCATCATAGGTCGATGCTCAACCGATGAGCCATGCCGGCTGAGCAATAAATAAAGTATTTTTAAAATAAAGCTTTGATCTCTGTAATATCATTTGCTGTGTGACCTTCAGTGATTTTGCTCTTATCTGCAAAGAGAAAAATTTAGTTCTCATCTCCAGGGTCTCTCAGTTCTTAAATTTTGTTTGGATCTCATACCCATATTCACATACATTAACATTTGGCACATTTTATAGGCCCAAATGGCATTAGTGTCCTGTTCCAAATTCCACTGCAAAGTTATTTCATTTTATGTGTACATTATTGAAAGCTCCTACAGTGTTCCTGAATGTTATGATGCATTTCTTTTTTTATATCAATGCATCTTTAGTTCTTTGACTTTATTATTTAGTTTAGTTCAACAAACATTTATTAAGCCCCTACTATGTGCTAGGAATAAGGAGCAAAAGTAAATACCCTATAGTTTCTGTCCTTGAGATGCTGGCAATCAAATTAGTGGTTGATTTGTGAAAATTAGACTACTTCCGAGTCTCAAGAAATAGCCTTTTCTTTTAAAAAAATCTCTGTCTCTTCACTCATGATAAATAAATATCAGATACAAATTAATTTCCAAGCATCTCTTTTAAGTATGTTTTTGGTTACTGATTATATTACACATCTATTAAGATTCAGAAACTAACCTTGTAACAAACTTTTAAGAAAAAATTGTTTTCCTCTTTTGTAGTATAGTGTATTTATTAGTTAATGTAATACATTTAAAGCAAACAGGAAAGAAAGGGGGTGACTGGATAAATAAGGTGAAGGGATTAGCTAAAGAACATATATGCATATCCCATGGACACAGACAATATTGTGGTGAAGATCAAAAGAGGGGGAGGCAGGAGTAGGTGGAGGTGGGCAAAGGGAGGGGAACTGTTTTGCAATAATGTCAACATAAAAATTTTTAATAAAAAAATAAAGTGAAAGAAAAAAACCTTTCTTTAAAATTCTTACACATTTTTTCAAAAGGAAAAATTAGTCACTGAAGTTTTTGTCACAAATGAAAATTATAACCTGTAGTCTTGAAATTGTGTTGTCAATATAAGGAAAAAAAATATATGCTTATTTTTGTGGTTAGAAATCTATTTTATATATTATATGATATAGTATATATTGTAAAAATATAATATGTAACTATATTGTACAATATGTGGTTACTGTATAATATTACAATGTTATATATCATAATATATATATATATAAAAACAATATACATTATATATGGTACACTAAACAGGATTCATAGCACTTTATTTCTAGCCTGAATATGAATTAATTTTTTATCAAATAAAATTAGACTTCAGAGTTTGTTTTCAAATGCTTAATTGATTATGTTGGTTTACCACCATATTTTTAAAATTGCATAAAGTAAAAACTGAAAGAACCTCCCCCAGAGGTAGTCACTGTTAACCATTTAAGACATATCCTTCCTGACTTTTTCCAACTCATACACAGACCTAACATTTAATTTCAAAATGTGCCATTTATTTCAACATGGGGTAACTTAGAAAAAGGATGAAACAGCAAAAATATTCCATTGTACAGAGCTGAAATAACATAAAATATAGCTTACTCTAACATTGAAAAGTGTTATTCCTTTCTTGCATTCGCGTTTTTTTGCAGTACTCAGTCTTAGAATAGTAAAGACCTTGTGTTGCTATTTTCAATTCTCCCACTATCTTTTAGTGAGGTAATTAATACATGGCTTTGCTTTTATCAAAAGTATTAAAATTTGGGATTTTTTTTTGTCAAAGCTATAACCTGTCAATTTTAATTTCAGCTGGTTAAAGGGTATTTTTACCTATCAAATTATCTCTAATCAATTAACACTTGGAGTTTCTTTTGAGAAACCCTGCTAAGAACATAAAATATATTATTAGATCACCGTTACTATCAAAGTCAACAAGTATAATTAAACTGTCATTATGCTAAATAGGTGAGGACAGTTTTAACAACTGAGTTGAAAGATAGTACAGTACTAGCTAATGTCAATGGCAGGAAAGCATCAACAAACCTGTGAATTATTTATTACAATATGTTAAGTCTGTGTAAGCCTTAATTAAAATAGTATAATGAATGACAAGGGTACTCACTCATCAAGGAAAATGGACTTGAATTCCCAAAAGTATCTTTGACCTTTACCCCTCAGTTTTCACAGTAGTGACCCCACCAACGTTTTTATAGTGTGACCTGTTACAATTTTTATGGCCTTTCCTAAAGAATGAATATCCTTCACAAATAACATGTAGATTCATTAACTTTTTGATAATTTTCATATTCTGAAGACAAATATTGATAAGTATTAGTTTGTGGTTCCTATGTATAAAACACTTTATTGACATTATTTCACTCAATTTGCATAACGACCACTTGAGGAAGGTATTAATAGTATCCCCATTTTACAAATGAGGAAACAGACTTAAAGAGCTTAACTTGCCAAAGGTATTCAGCTTGTAAATGTCAGAGTCAGGATTCAAAACCACTGGGTCCAAATGTTATGCTATTAATCTTTACACTTAACTGCTGCTCAGATAGTAGAATAGTTGATCACAAAATGTAGCACAGAGCAACTGTTGCTCTCTGACTTTATTTGTAAGTGAAGTAGGTTCACCAACCAAAGTGTCTTCTCTAATATGTATTAAGTATGTATTCATTTACATAATCAACACACTCTTTTTATGTTAAATCCTTCTTTTAAAATGTTCTTAGAATACTAACACTATGATAAATGTACCAGGTCATGTTTTGTGACATGAAAGAAATCACAGCTGTGGTAGAATTGGCATTAAGGAAGACTAAGGGAAATAGGGAGTTAATATTGGAAAAACTGAATAGTAAAAAGAATCAGGAAGTACCTGAGACAAATAGTATCCACTTCATAATATTGTCTTTGACTAGTTTTAGTTCTGTTAATTTTGGTATGAACTGACCTACTTAGACTGTGTTAAAGTCAGTACTTTTCATATAATCTTAGATGCTAATATTTTAAACATAGTTTTGAAATGATCTAACTCTAGTTTTTGACAAGTCTTCTTTCCATTTATATCTAATTTTTAAAGTGTACTAATATTGCATTTTTTCCAGGAATAGAAGTAAATTTAAGATGATCCAATGTATTTATCCATAGTATATTTCTCCAAATGTCCACATGAAGTGAGACAATATTAATAGGGAACTAAGCCAAAAATATGTGGGTGAATATTTCTAAAGCACTAACAACAGAGCCTGGCTTATATAAGTGCTATGTAAAGATTATTAAATAAATACATTCATATCATTATAATACAAATTTGGACTTCTTATTTATTGGGCTGGTTTAGGGATTCAAAGTGGGCTACAGCATCAGTCTGCTTGAGTCCAAATCCCAATTACATTACTTACCAGCTATGTGACTTTGGCCACATCAATTTAATTATCAGGCTTTGATTTCTTCATCTTTTAAAGGTACATAAGAATAACACCTAACTCATAAGGTTGCTGTGAGAATTAAGCATTAACATAGAATAATGAGAGATGTATAGGAAGCATTCATTAGATGTTAACTGTTTATATAATCCCATTGTACGTACACACTGTTTATAATCTGATGTTTTTTCATAAAATACTAAGAGGCTAATTAGGATGTCTGACCCTTTTACAACCAACCATAGTCTCCTTTTTATAGCACATTAGGCTCAATATTTAATGAACTTTCCACTTTTACTTTTAGCCAGTTGCCACTGACCGTGAAGCAATGAGTTTCTCAGTGGAACATGGACCTGGCTATGTGCCTCCAACTCGACATCTATCGTTGGTGAGTGGGTTGAATTCTCTATTGTGAGCATTGAGAAGTTAACTATTGAGGGAACAGATACATAAATTTCACCACTTAAATGATACTCCAAATATATCTTGAATACAGGGACCTAGATAGTATTTGATTCATTACAATATTATTTGGATTCAAATATAATTATACTACCATGAATAAGTTAAGATTTCCTTTCTGTAATCTTACAAGAATAAAGACTCATTCACTCAATCAGCAATTTAATGAGCAAACTGCCTAAATGCTATTGATGACTATCTGGGCTCTTTGCTTCTTTTCCAAGGAAACATTGGCTAATATTCCACATTTGACACTGGTTGACTCTTCTTTTGATGGAACTTTATGTAACAATTATTTTTTGTACGCTTCTATTTTTTTTTTTACTTATATAGTCTATTTTATTATTAAAATTATAGTTTATTTTAAATATTCAGAAAATAAATTATGAATATTTAAAATACTCATAATATACAAACATAAATATTGGCATTTTCCCATCTAATACACACTGTTATATTATGTAAATTATTTTAATTACATAAGAAAAATTGTTTTCTAATTTCTCTGATTTTTAATTGCCTTTACCAGCTCTTACTCTTTAGAATGGTATACACAGCCCTCAAAAATATGATTCCAACTGAATTTCCAACCTCATCTCCAGCACCTCCCTATCCTGGACTTTACTAACCATTAGACTACTACATCGGCAAATATCCCATATGCTCTCACTCTAGGCGCCTTTTGTTTATATTTTCCCCAGTGCTCAGATTTCCTTCCCCTTCCTTCTCTACCCAAGTAATTCTTACTCATTTTTCTACATTCAGTTCAAACATTACTTCTCTTGTGATATCTTACCTGACACCCTCAGGTAGAATTAATCAATTTATTTGTGGCCATGTGGCACTTTGCAAATAATACCGTCAAACAAGTCATCACACTCTCTTCTTGTCATTCTGTGCCATGTTTTCTTACTGATTGTTCTTATTACAAAAAATACCACAATACCTTGAAAGTAGAAGGAATTTAGTGTTTGTTGAGTGAATAAATATATGATTAAATGTATTTAAGGATGTATGAATGGGTGAGTGGATGGATGAATTGATGGATGAATGGATGGCCAGGATCCCAGAGTAAAGACAAGTCAGAAAACCATGAACAAGTGTGAGTAAACCAAAGATACTATTTCATCCACTTGGTTCAGAGAATAGGAAAACAAAAGTCCAAGCAAATTCTGGCAAACATAGTGGGTTCTGGTGTTTTTAGTCAGCTATATCCATTCTGTCTGCCCATGGGAAAAGAACCTCAGAATCCAGTCTTAATATTATGGCATCATTTATTCTTCCAGGGCAAAAATGCACAGGGACTACATTTTAGAATATTCCTGGCCCCTCTGACAAGATTGAACCACTGTCACCCAAATAAATTCAATAAAGAAAGTGAAAAAATGAAGTAATTAGATTCTCCAACCTCCATTCTCTCATTTGTAAAGTGAGTTTCTCACATTGACATACTTATTCACTTACTAGGAACCTCTTATTTAATCATTTTGGAAACACATTTATCAAACAATATGTAAGCACAGAAACATAAAATTGTTTAGCTACTTTAATAGAAGCAGCTACACAGGTGATATTCAGAAATTACTCATTTTCACTCTCATGAGACATGAATTGAAATATAACATATTTAGCAATAATAAATTATCTAACAAACTCAATCTTTAATTAAGAGTCACATAAACACATTTTGGCAATTTTTTCATTATATAATTTATAATATTGATTTATAAGGTAAAATGCACAGTTGACTATAGTTACATAGGAACCACATATCAACATTTAAATAAAATATTTAAAACTTCGAAATAAATCCTAAGTTCTTCTTAGAAAAAGGGGGTTAAGCAGTGCCAAGTAGCTGCCTTTAAGAGGAAAATGTGGATAGAGTAGTCCCCATTTAGTTTATTAATCTTTAAGCGCTAAGTGATGGGGACTAAAAGGGTTGCTTATTAACACCTAATTCAGATTGTATTACCATCAGTTGTTTTGTTTATGCCAAGTCCTCCCCAGTATTCCACACATTTTGTATAAGTGCTTTTTGCATGGAAGCTGATACTTTGTGTGTCTAAATGAGTATGAAAGCAAAAGCCCATACACATGTGATAATGATGACTCACTTGTCTGTCTCTTTACAGTATCTTTATGAGATGTAAACCTAAGGGTTTATGAAGTGAAATAATTAATCTAGTCACTAAGCCTATCACTAGAACAATGAAAGAAACTTTTACTTTTAAGAAACTTTTAATTCCTTATTCCACATGCTTTTCAGTGTAGTTACTTGGACAGTCATCTGTTGCCAAAGAAGTACCCAGTGAAGTGTAGGTCTAAGTGATAATAATAGCTATCATTCATGAAGTGTTTACTGTGTACTGGACACTATGATAATCACTTTATAAGAGACGATTTCTTTAATCTTCAGCAAACTAATGAATAGATATTACAATTTTCCCCATTTTACAGATGAACCGTGTAGTCTAAATAATATGCCCAAAGTCAATTAGCTATTAAATGATAGGCAATCTGACTCCAGAGCTCATGCTTTTTCAATATACTATACTATTTCTACATTGCCTATCATTTGCCTACAGAACTGCTACAATGAGCTCATTCCCAAACATAGTTCTGTTTGGTTTTTCTACTCTCTTGCAGAAAGGCTTATAGAGATTGACCTAGCTTAAATCAAAGCAGGACCATGGGATTATTACTGATGTTAGAGTTAGCTCGGTTTCTGAATGGCCACAGTGCAGTGGTAAAATATTAAATACTTCCTTTTAAGAGGCCATTTACACTGATAAAAATTGTATAGTATCTTCACTGAAAAATAATGATCTTTAAAATTCTACTTTTACATTTTGTGCTTCTCCCTGATGAAAACATAATTTTCATTATTTTTCATTAGGCTATATTGTAATTGGCCCTCGTGGTAAATTGAAAAGGCTGTTTTACCTGTGTCTGCCTTTTAATATGCATACATTTTTAATTAAATAGAAAAATGCCAACCAACAATATATTACTAGTGATGAGAACAGCCTGAAAGATGTCAGAAGGCATCTTTCACATACAGTCAAAGTATTCTCAAGTGTTTTCTTCTTATTTAAAACATCAATCACATTTTTACATATTTCTTTTGTCCATGTGTTGGTTGTATGCCTATATACTCTGACTATATTCAAATTTTCCTCTCAAGACAGGTTTATATAATCTATTTTGGCTTATTTGAGTCTTCACAATATACCCCCTTGAGCATGAATCATCCTTTCTTAGCAAATCAACTTTGGTTGTTGTTGCATTACTCAAAACATTGAACATAATTAATTTTGTAGGTTATTGGGAAAATCGGTATGCTGACAAGGCCATGGTGTGGGTTATAAACTTCAAGTTCCACTGACATTCTCCACAGATTTTTATATCATCCATTTTTATTAATATTTAATATTGGTTATTTTCAGGTCCATCTAATTTCCAAATTGATGTTCCATTCTATTCACTGCAAAGAGACTGTTCTTTCTATAAGCACTACTTTGTGATACAGTGTCATTCTTCTATTCAAACCTTTAATGTCTCTCCATTACCTGCAAATTAATTTCAAATGTCTTTGCTTATAAATCAAAAAACATCTACTAAAATGTCAACACTTGCCCTGGCTGGTGTGACTCAGTGGGTTGGAGCATCATCCCATACAGCAAAAGGTGGCTGTTTGATTCCAAGTCAGGGCACAGGTTCGATCCCCGGTCAGGGAATTTGTGGGAAGCAACCCATAGATGTGTCTCTTTCAAATCATTCTCTCTCTCTCTCTCTCCCTCCCTCTCTCTCTCTCTCTCTCTCTCTTTCTCTCTCTCTCTCTCTCCCCTTCCTCTCTCTCCAATTAATTTTTAAAATTTTATAAAAAATAAAATAAAAATAAAAAGGCAATACTTTTCTCTGTGTCCTTTTAGTGACTTTTGTTTTCTGCTCCTACCATAATGGGTTTCTTGCTCTTCTTGGAATTTACCATATGCATTCCTAGATGTTTGCTTTTGCTCAGACAATCTTATCTCTCTGAAAATATAAAATTCTCTTCTCTTTGATTATCTGACTATTCTCTCTCCAAAACGGATCTCTACCTTCTCCACAAAGTTATTTCTGACCATTTTATCTCCTATAGGACATCATAAAACTGTCTTTATTGTTATAACTGTGTATTGTTATTTCTCTTTTATCTGCTTTGTTAACCAGATGTAACCTCCTTCAGAGAAAGGACTTGATTTATCCTTCACCAACCTAAGAATATGCTTAGAACATATTAAACATAAATATTTGCCAATTTATTCACTAGTCTAGTAGATTTTTATAAACCATTTCAGGCATTACAGTGAAAAAGTAGTCAATTAAGAGTTAAGAGACCAGGATCATGGTTTTTGGTCATAAATTAATACACTATTTTACATAAGACAGATCAGTTAAATCTTTTTATTCTCTCTCAGGCACCTCATCAATGAGATGATAATGATTACTATTCTACTGACTTCATAGCGTTGGGGCCATGGTTGGATATGGTTATTTATGTGAACATGTTTTTTTAAAATATAAAGTGTTATAAAATCATAAAAGAGAGTGATAGATAAGTATAAGACATCCTTGCCGGAAATCATCTTAGTTGACCAAAATATTTGGGGAAAATTTTTACTTTTTATATGATCTGGTATATAATAAACCTAACTTTTCACAGAGCAGCAATACTGAAGGGGAACTACAAGGACTTTGGAAAACCTCTATACAAGGCTTTTTTCTTACCCTCTTACCTACTACTGACCAGAAAGCAAAATAGGCATAAGTATATACCAGATTTCTATGTAGAGATTTTTAACATTTCATCTCCAATACAATTCAGCCCATAACTTAAATTTTACTGTAATTTGAAAATTAAAGCCTGAAGTGAGTTGAGTCCAC